CAGGGACCGGCCCCCGCCCCCTGCCTTCCTGCCCAGCCCGCCCCCCCTGGCCAGACCAAAGCCGCCGGCGTCCCCCTTTGAATACACCAAGGACAAGCCGGCGCCCCCGCAGCTCTACCCGTTCGGCAAGGCTGAGGAGCGCCGGCCTGCCCCCGCCCCACGCGGGCTCCTCAAGTCCCTGGCTGGTGCGCTGGAGGTCCAGAAGCATTTGTATGGCGCCAAGGCCCCCCCAGCCCCCAACCCCGGTGCTAACACGACCGCCCCGGTCGGTGCCATCCAGGTCTCATCATCTCAATACTCTACCTCAACACCAGCCTGGGCTGGAGGTGCCCAGGAGAAGGAGAAGGAAGGCTCAGCGGAGCCACGGCCGCCCCGCACAGAGTCAGAGGTGCTGGAAGAGATTAGCCGGGCCTGTGAGACACTGGTGGAACCGACCCCAAGGGCAAGAGCCGCCGGGTCCTAGCCAACCTCGACTTGCAGAGCAGTGAGATCCACGCCCGGGATGGTGCTGCCAAGACCGAGATGGGCAAGGCCTCCAAGATGTCAACATTGCCCTCCACCGCACCCACACCCCAGCCCCTGCCGCGCCCAGCCCGCAGGGAGGATGTTGGGGGTGGCCCGGCTGTGATGAGCTCTGCTGACCTTCTCAAGCTGCGCTCAGTCACCGAGGGGCCCCCTAAGGAGCTGAAAATCCGGCTCATCAAGGTGGAGAGTGGGGACAAGGAGACCTTCATCGCCTCGGAAGTGGCAGAGCGGCGCGTGCCCCTGGGCCAGCTCACCATCAACCACAGCGCTGCCGAGGTCGTCCGGGCTAGCAAGTGAGTACAAGGACCTAGATGCTTGGGGCAGGGGGGATGGGGTACATATGATCCTGGCTGGACCCTTCCAAAGCTCAGAGTGAGGCCAGACTCGTCTTAACTCTAAAGGTTTGCAGTTGACTTTGAGGCTCATTGTCCCAAGACATCGAGAGCCCCCAAGCCGGGCCCGGGTAACACCGGGGGGGCCAAGAGCTGGCAACATCCCGGTGTCGGGGTTAAATGCCCTCGGGAGATCTCCCCTGGCTGCAGAGAGACACTCCCCCCTTCCAGGTCCTTGCTGATTTGAGCGTGGGATATATTTCCTTCCTGACCCTCATCAGTCTGAGCCTGAACCAGCCACACGCTCCTGCTCCAAATGGGGCCACGTTCATAGGTGCTGTGTATGGCATGTATGGGATGCTTGAGATAGAGGCGTGGCCGCCCTTGGGATTGACAGATGCTTGGGAACCAATAGCCTAAAGCAGGTTCTGATTGGGTTTGAGGAGAGCATCCTTGGAATTACGGCACTGGGGTGACCAAATAGGTGCCTGGCAGGAGTGTGGGGGTCTCCATTGTTCAACAAGGGGTTGCATGGGCCTGGGGTGGGGGTGATCCAGGAGCAACTATGCATACAGCGTGATATAAGCCCCTTAGTTCTCTTGGAGAGTGAGAGAAGAATTCTGCCACCCATGTCGCCAGCCAAGATTTTGCTGCTTTTTTTACGGACGGCACAAACTTTTTACTGACTGCACAGTTTTTTTTCCCTGACGTGTCTTGATGGACAGAGGTTTTGAGTCACGTGAACATGACTATTCCGTCAGGCTTGGCTGCAGTTAGAAGTGCCGGATTTAAACGTAGGACAACCACAGTACAAAAGAAACCCAAAACAACATAGTTTGGTCGTTAAAAAGTTGCCGTTAAAAAAAATAACGTTTTTGGGTTGGCAGCTCTGTTTGATGTCAGCAGTGGTTTTATACTGTCCTGCCCTCACCCCACTGGGGTGCCTTCTTCACCTCCACATCCTGATGCCCTCTGCCAGCCTTACTTTATCCCCTCCAGTCCTGATAAAGACCCCCCCCAAAGAGACCTACCTACAACGCAGACTAAATTGGGCTCATTGAGTCTGGAGCAGACAAGACCGAAGCGAGATTTGATAGCAGCCGTCACCTCCCTGAAGGGTGGCTCCAAAGAGCATGGTGCTGGACTTTTCTTCGATGACAGAACAAGCAGCAATGAGCTCAGGCTGCAGCAAGAGAAGTTGAGGTTGGATATTAGGAAGATTTTTCTCCCAAGCAGGGTAGTAAAGCACTGGAGGGTGGTAAAGCTTTTACAGAAGCTTCAAATATATGTGTATTTTTTACAGACAGGCATTTTTAGCCTGTTTGGTTTGGGGTTTTGGGGGGGTTTTTTGTTTTGTTTTTTTTACTGACAATCCATATATTCATGGATGGTTGGCAGCCCTGCCTGGTGCCCGGAGCCACTGGAGGCTGGTGAGGACCTGGCAGCAGGGAATGGAGTGGTTCTCTTCACTCTGCTCTGCTCTGCTCTGCTATGAGAGGAGACGAAAGGAGCCGGGGACTTTTGCCACTCTCCAGGGCTTGGGGCTAGGTTGTGCTGATGTTGGCAGTGAAACCCAGAGACTTTTGCTCCTGTTTGGGGGTTCCCCCCCCGCATTGAATTGGGGGTCAGGGGGGAGTTTTACCCCTGGCTCGCATCAGTCTGGATGTGGGGGGTAGCGAGAGAAAAAGCCTGTGCTTGGGACCTCCTGAGTGCCTTTAACTGTCCCCTGAAGTGGCAGGATTTGGCCAGTCCCATTCCTTGGGGTAGGTTTGGGGGCTCTTGGGGTAACGGGATGTGTTGGGGTTGTTTTGAATGGGGGCTGATCCTGATCTCACTGCTTTGTAACCGTGGGACAGGCTGTGGTACGTCCATGGCTCCCTCCATCACTGTGCAGGGCCCTCGGGGTCTTGGCTTCACCTGAGATGCCCCCCACTTTGTTCCTATAAATTGTAGGGACCCCCTCCAGGTCCCAGCCCTGGGAGTTTCTGCCCCCAGCCTGACAGTGCTGCCCCCTCCCAGGCACGCCAAGGTGAAGGGCAAGTTCAAGGAGTCATACCTGTCGCCCGCCCAGTCTGTCAAGCCCCACATCAACTCGGAGGAGAAGCTGCCGCGGGACAAGCTCAACCCCCCAACACCCAGCATCTACGTGAGTGACTGGGAGGGGAAGGGGGGGGCATGGCCTGGTGAAGGCCCATGGGCAGTGGGGCTGGGCCGGGGAAGGGAAAAAGGAGGCACAGCCCAGGAACAAGGGGCCAGCGTGCTGGGGGCAGCCTCCGGGGGCCTGTTCTTACCCTCATCCTGCCTTTCCCCCCCAGCTGGAGAGCAAGCGGGATGCCTTCTCACCCGTCCTGCTTCAGTTCTGCACTGACCCCAAGAACCCCATCACTGTCATCCGGGGGCTGGCTGGCTCCCTACGCCTCAGTGAGTGTCTGGCGGGGGGGGGTCATGGGATGGCGTCCCCCCATGGCAGTCCCTATGGGGACTGAGGTTGGTGTAGGGGGACCTGGGGGCTGTGGGGTTGGCAGAGACCCTTGGTATGGGGGGCACCCCTACTCTGTGTATGGAGGGGGGCTATGGAGCTGGGGTCATGTGGTACTACCCCCTCACACCGCTGCCTCCACCCATCCCCACCCCCAGACCTGGGCCTGTTCAGCACAAAGACGCTGGTGGAGGCGAGTGGGGAGCATGCGGTAGAAGTGCGCACCCAGGTGCAGCAGCCCTCAGATGAGAACTGGGACCTCTCGGGCACCCGCCAGGTCTGGCCCTGTGAGAGCAGCCGCTCCCACACTACCATCGCCAAATATGCCCAGTACCAGGCCTCTTCCTTCCAGGAGTCCCTGCAGGTCAGTGCCAGGCCAGGTTGGGACTCCCCCTGCAGGGCGAGGGGATCTCTGAGGGGGTGGGATACAGGGTCCCTGTGGGGGGTGGAAGGCTATGGGGGCATGGCCGCTGGATGGGGGGAGGTGGATGGGGTCTTTATGGGGTGGGAGACCCATGGGGTCCCTTTGGGGGTCAGATGACATTCCTCCCCTGGTGGGTGTGTTGGGTGGGGGGGTCTGATAGGGTCCCCGAGTGGGCATGTGGGGTCCAGGGGTCTGACATGCTGTCCTGGGCCAGGAGGAGAAGGACAGCGATGAGGAGGAGACAGAGGAGCCTGACAGCACCACAGAGACACCCCCCAGGTAGGGGGAGAGGGGATGGGGAAGCATCCCCTGGGATGGAGGGGGAACCTCAAGCATGGATGAGGGCTGGGAATGGGCAGGTATCATAACCCCCCCCTCCAAGGGGGGAGAATTGGGAGAAGGGCATGGGGCAAGGGTGGGGCTCTGGGGGCCCCCCCGTGCCCCCCCCCGCAACCCGGGCCAGAAATCCCATCAGATCATCAAGTTCGGGACCAACATTGACCTCTCCGATGCCAAGCGGTGAGTGGAGGGTGGCAGAGATCAAGCCCAGGGGGAGGGGGTTAGTGGCCAAACCTCAAGGTAAGGGGCAGCTCTCATTTTCCTGCTCCCCACCTCACTGTGGTGGGGGGAACTGGGGGTCACTGTGACCCCTGCACCCCATCTCCGGCACCCCCTGCAGGTGGAAGCCACAGCTGCAGGAGCTGCTGAAGCTGCCGGCCTTCATGCGCGTGTCATCGACGGGGAATATGCTGAGCCACGTGGGCCATACCATCCTTGGCATGAACACAGTGCAGCTATACATGAAGGTACCTGGCAGCCGTACCCCAGGTGAGCAAGTGCCCATCTGTGCCCTTAATTGCTCCAGCATCTAATCAGGGGCTGTCATTTGTGGCCAGCAGGGGGACTCTTGGAGGGGGCAGGGTAATGCAAGACAAGTGCAGCAACTGAGGCATGTGTCTGGGGTGGGGGAGGAGGGAGTGCAGTGGCTCAGAGCTCCAGCAGCAGGAGGGGTAGATGAGGAGGGAGACCAGGATGGGTAAAGGAGCAGGTCTGGCTGCCCCTAATCCCCATCCCCTGACCCCCACAGGCCACCAGGAGAACAACAACTTCTGCTCCGTGAACATCAATATTGGGCCGGGCGACTGTGAGTGGTTCGCAGTGCACGAGCACTATTGGCAGACCATCAGCGCCTTCTGCGACCGGTGAGGCTGGGCCTGCAGGCACTGGCCCCATCTGTGCTTCCCCGTGTCTGTACCCTGCTTACCCACCCTTGCCTTGCTTTTGCCTACTGCAGGCACAGGGCCCCAGCCATGCCCCCCCACCCGTACCCCACTGTACCCCCATACCACCTGGACCAGCCCTCTCCCCACCTGTACACCCCAACCACCCGGACCAGTCCTCTCCTTGCCTCTGGTTCCCACAAGCATGTAGCACCAGCCACCCTTCTACTGCCCATACCCCATTGACCCACCCATTCTCCACTGACCTGCCCTCTTCTTGCCTCCACCTCCTGCAGGCACAGAGCAGCAGCCATGTCACCCCACCCCACGCCACCTGTACCTTACTGACCTGCCCTCACTTTGCCTCTGCCTTCTGCAGGCACATGGCACCAGCCATGCCACCCCCTCCACACCACCCATACCCTGTTGATCTGCCCACTTCTTGCCTCTGCCTGTCACAGGCACCAGCCATGTTCCCCCACCACTACCCCATACCCTGCTGACCTGCCCTCTCCTTGCCTCCACCTCCTGCAGGCACCAGCCATGTCCCCCCAACACCACCCATACCTCAGCCACGTCCCTCCCGCCACTGCCCTTACTTAACTAACTTGCCTTCTCCTTGTCTCTGCCTCCCGCAGACACAGGGCATCAGCCTTGTCCCCCCCCACCACCCATACCCCGCTGACCTGATCTTTCCTTGCCTTCACCTCCTGCAGGCACAGTGTGGACTACCTGACAGGTTCGTGGTGGCCCATCCTGGAGGACCTGTACCAGGCCAATATCCCTGTCTACCGTTTCGTGCAGCGGCCCGGTGACCTGGTGTGGATCAATGCCGGCACTGTGCACTGGGTGCAGGCCACTGGTTGGTGCAACAACATTGCCTGGAACGTCGGGCCCCTCACAGGTGAGGCTGGGGTCATGGAGCAGGGGAGGGGCCTGGGGCACCCAGACACCCTCAGAGGTCAGGCTGGGATTGTGGGACACTTGTGACAGCAGCGAGTCACTCCAGCCCTCCGGGTGCCCCAATCTGTGTGGGGCTGGCCTGCAGGAATTTTACCCCATGCCCTGCCTCTTCCCCCCCGCCCCTCCAGCCTACCAATACCAGCTGGCGCTGGAGCGCTATGAGTGGAACGAAGTGAAGAACGTCAAGTCCATTGTGCCCATGATCCACGTCTCATGGAATGTTGCCCGCACCGTCAAGATCAGTGACCCCGACCTCTATCGGATGATCAAGTGCGTGCTGGGCCTCCCGCCCCAGCAAAGGGAGTTGGGGGGCAAGTAGAGATGTATGGGATTGGGAGGGAGCTGTGGAGGTGTAGGGGAGCAGGGGGCCCTGGGTGGGTGCAGGGCAGAGGTCTGGGGAGGGGCCATGGGGGCTGCAGGGGATCTAGGCTGCGAGTGGTGCTCACGAGTCCCCCACCCCATAACTACCCCTTATCCAGTTCCCTAATAACTCCCCATCCATGCCCTATCTACCCCATCATCTACCTCCCTAACTACCCACATCCGTCCCCCAAGTACCATCCACCCCCCTAAGTACACCCTATCCACCCCTTAACTACCTCCATCTGCCCCCCCATATTACACCCCTAACTACCCCAATCACCCACCCTTTAACTGTCCCCCTATATACCTCCTAACTACCCCTGTTGCCAAGGGGAGGGGAATGGGGTGCCTAGCTGGTCCTGTTCCCCCTGCTCATGCCCCTATGTTCATTCCTCGCCTCCCCAGGTACTGTCTCATGCAGTCAATCAAGCACTGCCAGGTGCAGCGCGAAGGGCTACTGCGGGCAGGCAAGAAGATCGCCTACCAGGGCCGTGTGAAGGATGAGCCAGCCTACTACTGCAACGAGTGTGACGTGAGTTCCGCCCCAGGGCCAGGGGCAAGGCCCCGTGGCCCAGCTCACCATGGGAGGGAGACAGGGGAGGGGCTTTCCCTCAGCCCTGGTGTCCTGGGGGCTGCTATGCTACACCAGTGGGGCAGAAAGCCGTCCCCTCGATGGCTCTGCCCCTTCCGAATCCAGTTTCTGTAGCCCTGTCCGTGGAGGCGACCACGTAGCCTGTCCTCCGCTGGCTGCGGCGACCCCTCCTGCGCCTCTTTCCGTGCTTTGGCCCTGCACGGCCCCCCTGGGCGGCCGCGTCCCCTTTTCGCCCCCCTCTTTTTCCCCTCCACCCTCCGTGGCCCTGTCCACTGTGGCGTGTAGGGCTTGTTTGACATGTGAAACGCTTCCTTGTCCCCCCTCCAGCTGGGGGCCGCGGCCGCCTTCTGGGCCGGCGATAAGGAGAGGGGTCGTAAGGGGCTAAAAGCCACAAACTGTAAGTATTCAGCGGCTCCGAGGCCATGTCAGGGCAGGAGACGTGTAAGAGTTCTCTCGAAGGCCACGTCAAAGCCAGAGATGCATGAGAAAAGGCCACGTCAGGGCAGGAGACACTTGGGTGCTCTCTTGAAGGCCGCATCAGAGCCAGATACACGAGAGAGGCCACGTCGGGGCAGGAGCCCCATGGGTGTTCTCTCGAAGGCCATGCCAGGGCAGGAGACAGGTGGATGGTCTCTTGAAGGCCACGCCAGAGCCAGAGATGCATGGGAAAAGGCCACATCAGGGCAGGAGACACGTGGGTGCTCTCTCAAAGGCACATCAAGGCAGGAGATATGCGGGAGTCCTCTCAAGACCATGCCAGAGCCAGAGATACACTGGGAAAGGCCACGTCAGGGCAGGAGATGCACGGGAGTTCTCTCAAATGCCACCCTGGGGCCAGAAATGCAGAGAAGGGCCACATTGAGGCAGGAGATGCGCAGTGTTCTCTCAAAGGCCACGAAGGCAAGAGATACATGGGGAAAGGCCACATCAGGGAAGGAAACGCACAGGAGTTCTCGCAAAAGGCCACGCTAGAGCCAGAGATACAGGAGACACGTGGGCGCTCTCTCTCAAAGGCCACGTTGGGGCAGAAGATGCATGGGTGCTCAAAGGCCACACCACGGCTGGAGACACATGAGAGAGGCCATGCCAGGGCTGGAGACACGTGGGAATTTTCTCGAAGGCCACGAAGGCAAGAGATACACGGGGAAAGGCCACGTGAGGCCAGACGATGCACAGGTGTTCTCTAGACCACACCACTGGAGACGCACTGTCTAGCCACATGGCGGCAGGACAAGTTGGTCCCCCTGCCGAGGCAGCACGTAGTTGGGCACTTCTGCCAGCCACATCAGGGTGGAAGACACTGGAGCATCCCCTCCAGGGCCAGCCAGGGGCACTGTGCCCCATAGCAGCACACACACGGGCGTCAATTTCCAGAGCAGAAGAGGCATGGGCCAGGCCATGACATAGCTGTTAACCAGCCTGGCATGGGGCCAAGCAGAAGACACACATGCCTTCTCATGGCCCACACCAGCACAGAAGACTCGTGAGCATTCTTATGCTAACCACATGTGGGCATCCCCTCTCCAGCTGCATTGGGGCAGAAGACAAGGGCCATGCTGTGGTCATATGCAGGAAGTTATCCGCTCTGGGCCACACTGGGGTGGAAGACGCGTGGGCCTCAACTCCTAGGTAGAAGACGTGCATTCTCCATTTGGCATCATGGCAGTACACACGTGGGCGTCCTTCTCCCCAGCCATGCCAGGGCAGATGGTGGGCAGGTGGTCTCCTCCAGGCAACACATGGAGGGGCACGCACCAGCCGTGTGACACGTAGACATCCTCTTTTGGGTAATGTCAGGGCAGGAGTCACATGGGCATCGTCCTGTGACTTGAAGCTAGGCAGGAGATGGGCAGAGGAGCCCCAGGCTATATCTGAGCAGAAGAAACATGCGTGTTGTTCATTCTGCACTGGGGCAGAACATGCACAGGCGTCCTCTCCGGCCACGTCTGAGAAGACTACATGCATGTGTTCTCTATTGTGCACCATGGTAGAACACGTGTGGGCATCCTCTCTGGCCACGTTTGAGAAGGACACACGTGTGTTCTCCATCATGTCCCATAGCAGAATGTGTGTGGGCGTCCTCTCTGGCCACGCCCAAGCAGAAGACACATGAGCATCTTCCTGCAGGCCACGCTGTGGTCATAAGTGAGCAGGTCACATTGGGATGGAAGGGACATTTAGGCCAGGCCTGGGCAGAAGACACCTGCATGTTCTCTGTTCTATACCATGATGATACGCATGTGGGTGCCCTCTTCACAACCATCCCAGGGAAGATGATGGGCCAGGGGGGTGGTCCTCCTACCATGCAACCACGTATTGCATGGGCAATACGTGGTTGAGCATCTACAGATCAGCTCCAAGCAGAAGACATGAAGATGTCCTCTTCTGAGCCATGGCTGGGCAGAAAGTGGACTGATCTCTGGGCCCTGCTGAGGGCAGTATACGGCTGGGCGCCTGTGCCCCGAGGCCACAGCAGATGTGTGGGCCAAGCCCAGGCGGGACGTGGGTGGCATCCACCCCAGCCCACGTGATGGGCCATGAAGATGTGATGTTAGTGGCTTGGTGAAACAGGCCATGGGTGGATTCGTGGACCCTGGCAACCAGGGCTTTTGGAGGCAGCTGATGGGGCAGGTGCATGTGGGAACACCACTGATGAGACATGGACACAGCCCAGATGCCTGGGTTCTTCCCTGCTCTGTGAGGGGAGGAGGGGGTGCTGTACCATGATGCTTGTGATTACCGCATGGGACCCAGGCCCAGAAAAAAGACTGGGCATGGGAGTGGGCAGGGCTGGGAGCCCAGACGCCTGGGTTTCCTCCAGCTCTGGGAGGAGAGTGAGGCCTGGTAGATTGCAGCAGGATGAGCTCGGACACCTGAGGTCTGTCCCAGCTGTGGGAGGGGAATGGGATCTAGGGGGTTGGAGCAGGGAGAGCCCTGGACACCTGGGTTCTCTTCCTGCTTGGAGGTGGGGGGGAGAGAGGGGAATAAGAGAAGGGGGAGCCCAGTCACCTGGATCAGGCTGACATGTCCCCCTCCTCCGCAGGTGGAGGTGTTCAACATCCTGCTGGTGACAAGTGAGGCTGGGAGCCGCAACACGTACCTGGTGCACTGCGAGGCCTGCGCCCGGCGCCGCAGCGCCTCCCTCCATGGCGTCGTGGTACTAGAGCAGTACAAGACTGAGGAGCTCATGCACATCTATGATAGCTTCACCCTGGTGCGTGCAGGCGGTAGGATGCTGCTTGAGGGGAGTGGGGCTGGGAGCCTGGACGTCTGGATTCTCTCAGGACGAGTTGGAGCGAGGGGGAAGGGAGGCTGGGAGGCCTGTTGCCCCCTCCATTTTTTTTTTTTTTTTTTTTTTTTTTTGACCAAACTTTTTTTACTGATGTTTGGGGGGTTTTTTGTTGGGTTTTTTTTTCTTTACTGATATATTTTTTACTGATGTGTTTTTTCTATTGACATGTGTTTGACACAATGAATGTTGCCCAGGCCCCGGGCATCCATAACACAGGGTGGGTTTGCATAGAAATTATAGAGAAGTGGGGCTGGGAGGGACCTCCCAGAGGTCACTTCTAGTCCAACCCCTGCTCGAGGCAGGATGAGCCCTGTCCAAACTGTCCTAGACAATCCAGAATCTAAACTCTACATCAGACGACCATCAAGCCAGACACAACGTAGGACATCACGCCCGAACCTGCCACGGGGGACTGCAGCTGTCAACGTCCTACTGCTATGAATAAGACGCTCAAGAGATCCCAGGTAGAGGCTGTGCCCCCTGCTATAGAGGAAGGCAGTACCCAACCCCTAGTCTGTACCAATGTGACCATGGGGGGAAATTCCTTCCTGACCTCAAATATGATGCTGCTCTGTCCCTGAGCAGAGGACCAAGCCCCGCCAACGAAGACCCTCAGGCTTTGCTCCTAGCCAGAAAATCGGCACAGCCCAGTTGATGCCAGCAGCCTGGGCTGCAACCAACACCCGATGCCTCTCAGGGATGCTTAAAAACATGGAGCAGAAAGGAGGGGCGGGGGCAACCCTCAAAGCCCAGACAACTGGAAAGCCCCCGTAGCCAAACGGAGGCTTTGCTACGCCTAAATCACACCCAACCAGTGGCTGTTCAACATCTTCTTGAAACCCTCCAGTGATGGAGAATCTACAACTTCCCTAGGCCTAACCTATGCCTAGATGACCTTGAACCAGTGCCTATCTTACCTCTCCTTGAATCCCTTCAGCAATGGAGAGCCCACAGCTCTCCTAGGCCTAGCTACACCTAGATGACACCTGCCCAGGGTTCATTCAACCTCTCTTTGAACTCCTCCAGTGATGGAGAGTCCCCAACTCCCCTGAGCATCTATCTTGCTGCCCCCTGCTCTGACAGCGAAGAAAGGTTTCCAGATCTCCACCTTAAATTTACTCTGCTGCTCCTTGAAGCCATTGCTTTGCCACCTTCTTTTCTTCTCTAGGGCAGCCCTTCCCCTAGGGGCAGCCTGATGTCATGGTCCCTCTTGAGCACCTTTTCTGTGAGCTGAGCATGCTCGGCTTCCACAGGGGTTTTTAACAACTGTTAATACAAAAAATTTTTTTTTTTAAATCAGTAAAAAGTTTGATGTGTCAGTAAAAAAAAAAAATTGGGGGGGGATGGCTGCAGCAGTGGTTTCGTCTTGTGTTGCTGCTGGGGCTGCCCTAGCACCCTACTGTCCCCCACCATGGTGCAGACCCCCCCACCCCCATCCTCTGCCTCTCCCCACACTCCCCCAGCCCTGCCATTACATCCACTTTGCAAGGAGGTATGGCGGTACCAGGAATTCATGGACAGTTCATAGCATGGCTTCTGCTCCATCTCCAGGTGCTTCTCTGCCCCCTCTCAGGGCTGCTGCTTTCTGTGGACAGATCTGATTTTTGTTTTTTACAGACAAGGGCAATTTCGGGTGGCTTTACTGATTGTCGGAGTTGGCAGCCCAGCCTGGCTGCCTGGGTTCCCTCCATGCTGTAGGGTCCACTTCCACTTCCTGCCTGGAAAGAAGACCTGGGGTGGGGGCTGGGCCTTGCCAGATCTCCTGGGTCACATTAACCTTTTGCCTCCCCCTTCCCTCCCCCCACAGGCTGGATCGTCCAGCTCCAGATGAGCCATACCCTGCCCAGGGGCTCTGGGCAGATGGAATCAGCCTCCGCAGCAGCTGCCACCCCCTGCTGGAGGGGCCTGGCGCCGCCCCCCGGCCCGGCGGCCAATCGCCAACCGCCACGTGTTTACACCGGGACCTGCTCCGGCCAATCCATGACAGGCAGGGTGGAGCCAGAGGATGCAGCCACTCGCCATGGGCCAGGCAGGCAGGGGGCCGGGCCCCATGCCCCCAAGGAGCCAATCAGCTGACGGCCTGGGACTACGGCCCCACCTCCTCAACACTGTTAATTTATTCATGACATTTGGGGGGTGGGGGTGGGGCTTTTTTAATATTCAGATATTTTTTTCAGGTGGAGGGATTTTAAAGGAAAAAACCCCACAAAAATGAA